GACGTCGATCGTATAATAATTTTTATCTAATCGATTCGAAGATTGGATAACTTTCGTTTAATTTACGTTAAATCGGAATTAATAATAAAATAAGAAAGAAAGGATCCTCGACGTTTTCGATTTCGAATTCGAGCATGACGTGTCCCCCTCCCTCTTCCCCATGCCGGTATTTCGGTTACTTCCAAATTAAAGAGTTTTTTTTCAGATAAGAGGTGATAAATCGTTGGGAAAAAATGTGAGCTCTCGTACGAGAAAATATTTTTCTTATTTTTTTTTTTCCTTTCTTTCTATTTTATTCGACTATGGAAAAATATGAGGGTATAGAGAATGTAGGAGGGTACGGATTGGGAGAATAGGATTTGTCGATTGTATAAGCTATTTTGTTTCTTTTTTTTTTTTAAGGTTCCTAATATTACAATGGCTTTTAACAATGTGTGTGTGTCGATTGTAAAGGATCTGTCAAATTTGATCCATTCAATAGGATTATGTAAATATAAAAAAAAAAGTCAAATTGTGTGATAGCGTCAACGTTTGGGCTTAAAGTAATAACAGAGAATGGTGCAGCATATAATAGTTCGATCAAGTTGTGTTAAATTGATCCTGTGAAACTGACTTGAATGAAAAGATGGATTATATATGAAAAATTGTTATATACATTCGTGATTCCATGCACGAATGGTTTCCTATACACAATTATCTCCTTTTGCAAATGTCCGATCGTTCTCACCCACCCTCAATCTTTTTTTTTCTCCTCTTTCTCTCTTTACCTCTTTCTTTCTCTATTTTTATTCCCAAACAACAGAATCGGATTACGAAGCATTTTACGAAATTAGATTAAAGTTTATTTTTCACGCTCGTTATATTATCGACTTTCGGAGGGCTGGGGGGGGGGGAAGAAATGAAACCGAATAATTGCAATTAGACTAATGGTATAAATTCTACATCGTTAAAAAACCTACCCTCCGTGTATAATTAACTAATCGATCGTGATAATTTCAAATAGGAACATTTTTCAAACAAACTCGCGAATATATTTAATTTTTCATCTCGAACTTATATTTCCAAGATATCTATTTAAATCGTAGAATTCGTATCAACCTTTTGAATTCATCGCGTTCGAATAAGTTAAATGTTTTCGCAAAAAGGTGCATTTCGTGATAAAGGAAAACAAAAGAAAAAAGAAAAAAACCAAAATATATGCGCTTGGTTTGCATATCGCAACGCGATACTTTTACCCAAGGTCCATCGATTCTCATCTTTCGTTTCGTTCGTTAAAAAACAAGAAAAGAATAAAAAAATATTAGTCGGATGTGTGATCGATGTAAGTGTAAAAAATACAAAAAAAAAAAAGGAATTCAACAAATTGTTACTTTTCAAATGTTACTCTCTCAACGTGGGATATAGTATTATATTATTACAATTATTATCGCGAATAATCTAAGAATCTCTCGTAAGAAAATTCTAAATCTAGTCTATAAGATTCTAATGAAACGAAAATAACTTGATCAAGTATGTAATCTACGATTCGCAAACACAAGTTTCCGCGGTTAGCATTGAATACTTAATCGTTTCTCAAGAGCGAAATCTAGACGCTTAGTAGAAGATAATATGCATGATCATATTCCAAGTTGCCTCGCTCACATTTGCACTAAGATTATCATAAATTTACCGTGAAACGCGAGAATACACGGCCGCGTATTTATGCTTAACAACCTTCTCCCTTCCTTTACCCTCTTCTCTCCGCCGCCCTCCCCCATATCCCCCTCTCCCTCTCCCTCTTTCTCTGTTTCTTTCTATACACCTCTCTTCTTTTACATCAGTCCTCTCCTTGTCTCATGGTATAATCCCATTCTGAGTTTAAGGTTAATTGATACAGCCTTGCATGGTTATTTAAATCTACTCGATCGCAAATCTCTAACCATGGACAAGAATTATTGGTCATAAATTACTTTGCCCAATCTACATTGATCGAAACTTTGTACATACTTCAAACTATTTTCTTTTTATTTCTGTCATTCTCTTATTCTTTTCTTTTCTCTATTTATTGTAATATTCTTTAAAAATATGAAATATATATACACGAGAAGAAGAAGAAGAAGAAGAAGAAGAAGAAGAAGAAGAAGAAGAAGAAGAAGAAGAAGGATGACACCATAGTATTGTAGTAAGGAAGATGATTGACGTATGCGAAAAGAATTTATGGTAGGTTTGACATCCACCCACGCATGGTAAAATATATGTCGAAGAACGATGACGATGATGATACCGACAAAAATATTCGCACGTTTTATTCATCTTTACGAGATGCACTTCGTGTGCATCATCATCATCATCATCATCATCATGCTAATCATGATGATCTATGGTTAGAGTGCTGATGATCACATTCGTCCTTTCACGCTGATTATCTTCTTTAGTTTTTTATTACAGCACTTTTTTGTTCTTTTTTTTTTGTTTCTTTTTTGTAGCAACATTTAATAAGAATAATAATTATGACAGAGATACCAGAAAGATCGGCTGACATTGTCGGCTTTGTAAACCATCTATCGCTTATCAAAGTGTTCCCATTTCTTTCTTTTATTATTTTTCTTTTTATTTTTTTTTTTATAATTTTTTTATTTTATTTCATTTCATTTTATTTTATTACTCGCGTTGTCGTCTCGAACAGCAACGACGCAATTCGTCGCACGTTTCATGGATTTATTTCGTTTAAAAGCGGGCTCGCGATAACATCTCCCTTTACCTTGACATCATAATCGAATGCATAATTTCACGCATTTAAAACGAAACCAGAGTATGTGTGTGTGTGCGTGTGCGTGTGTTACGGTTTATAAAACGTGCCGCGAGATGATCTCGCTTTTGAGATTGCAATTTAACGCGTAAATCCTTCCAATTTTGTAAAATTTTCTTTTCGAAATTAATTATACCGAGTTTAACCTTAATCGTGGTTGTACTCATAAATTTTTAACTATGTTATATTGATTCGAATATAGGTGGTTACTATTCGAGAAAAGAAACATTTTACTTTAGGTATCGCAAATAATTATGAACTTCTCTTCGAAATTAAAAAAGATTAATGAATCTCTCTGTTTATATAATAAATAATAAATTAAATATTTGTTTTCTGTTCTCTTGTGTCTTGATATATATATAGTTTAGACATTTTCAAAAAGATTGTACCATTAAATTAATGAAAAAGTAAAACTTTCTCTATAAAAATAAAAAAGTACACTTTTGTTTGTTTCCCCCTTACTCGAATAGAATCGTAATTTCATATTGAACAAATAATAAAAGAAAAACAAGTGGAAGAAAATTCTTCTCGTTGGATAGAAATTGCGATGGGTGGGTGTTCAAAGGCCGGTTCGATAAATTCTCAAACTAGGGAAGAGAAATAAAAGATAGAAAGAGAACGAGAACAAGAAAGAGAAAGAGAAAGATAGAGATAAAGAAAGAAAAATTCGATATCTCGGACGAGAGTCCGTAAAAGTTTATTGGTTCTGTCGTAGCGAGAGAAGCTCGACGACGAGAGGGAATAAATTTGGTATAAACGCATGTTAAACGATGATTGCTGGGTGCGCAAAACGGGTCAGCATGTCCGTATACAGATACAGAGTAAGTGAGAGGGACGGAGGCGAGACATGTTCCCGCATACGGAAGAAGCACTTATATGTCTGGCTTGCTTCTCTCTCTCTCTCTATCTCTCTCTGTTTCATTTTGTTTCTTTCTCCCCTTTACTTGCACGAGACGTCACGGTGGTTAGTGAGCTTTGAACAGTAATATATCCAAGAGTTGCTGATCTCGGTACCTTAATAATACATGCAGTTCCATTTAATGTACACGGCGTATTGTTTAAGATTTACGTCGATGCATAGCAGATGCGGGTGTGCAACGGTAATTTCAATTTATTCCAACGAGTTCGAATGAAAGTACTTTGGCATTACTAGTTGGTTGGTTGGTTGGTTAGTTGGACCATCTAAACTTTCAAGGATCGTTCGTTATTACTCGACAATATGTATATATGTGTGTATGTATATAGACTTATGTATTATATACTTGGCCTATCTATTCAACGAGAGTTACGTTTCTGAAGTTCGTTATCGTTAAATTCAAATGAACATTATTTAAAGAAAATATATCACCGTTGGGGCTGTTGAATAAAAATTCAATGACGTAGTAGTTAGTAGTAAGATATGAATAATTCATCATCATAGACATATTTAGTTAATAGAACACGTTTGATAAAGCCCAAAGGGTAATCAAGATTTAGTCGAGAGGGGAAAAGAAGCTTTTTTTCCGAGCTAGTTTTTATGTGTTTTGTTATATTCTTTCAAGGTGGTGGTGTTGGTGGTGGTTGTGTCCCTAGAAAGTTTATTTTCGGTCGGTTAGTGGTTCTCTATATAGTGTGTGTAAAAGAGAGAAATAAGTAGATGCATCATCGATAGAATCTTTCGGCACAGCTCTGAGAATTTCTAGACCGTGTTCGACTTTGGTTACCGTTTTACAGCTATGTTTAGATCATGGTACAGCTGCCATCGATAAACTAGGTCGGATTAACACAGCTTCCGTAATACTTAAATACCGAACAGGACAAAATTCCGACTCATTATTCTCTGACAGAAAGAGAGATGCACGTAATATCTATAATAATCATTTTCTCCGAACGTTTAAATCTTACGAGAGAAAGAATCGTCTCGTATATTGATCAAAAGTCGTTTCAGTTTACATTTTCGAGGTAACAACTTTAGGAAAATGACGAAATTGAGTCGGTGGAATACAATAAAAAGTTCATTTATCACGAACAACAGTTAGTTTTAAGAGACCCTAGGGAAATAATAGATAGACATAAAATATATAAATTTGAGTTTACCAAGAAACCGTGAAACTTTACGAACCGTTGCAAATTTTCCTTGTTTCACGTTTCAGAAGTAGTAGTTGTAGTAGTTGCAGTAGTAGTAATAGTAGTAGTAGGAAGGTTTTATTTGTATTGTGTATTTACTTTACAGATGTGGCGAACGTCCTACTGTACATACCTACTGTTAGGTTTATTATACCTAACAACGTTGCAAAGTGCAACGGCGTGTAGCTGCATGAAAGCGCATCCTCAAACACAGTTTTGCAGGGCAGACTTTGGTAATATAACCATTTTGTCTTTTTAAATAAAAAAAAACAAATTTAAATACGAAATGATGTAATAATATTATTTAAGCGCGATATTATCGTATATCTGTTTTTATGCAGTTGCAGTCGTAAGGATAAAATTGATCGTTCAAATTAACGACGAAAGGCTGGATTATAAAGTGAAGATTAACAGAATTTTCAAGGTTTGTAAAAACCAATTGAATATCGCGCGTATCATAACGATTATAACATATTTTATTCCAGACCATTCGGTAATTATATCATTAGAAACAAATGTTAGTATGATTGATCAGCAATTATGCGTAATGCGTTAATAAAAAACTAAACGTAAATTTTTCTAAACGATATATATCTATATATGGACAAAAAAGTGCGTACTTTTTAATAGGTAATCACCTAATAAAATTGTAATAAAATATTTGTTCTATTTTTATCTAGGCAACTCCAAAAGCAGAAATTGCCTTGAGAGAGAACATCCTTACCACGCCCGGTTACAGTTCACTTTGCGGTGTAATGCATTTATTTGAAGGAAAAACTTACGTCGTCAGTGGATTTGTAAGGGAAGGAAGAGCATTAATATCTATTTGCGATCTTGCCATTCCTTTGTCCGAAGTACCAGTCGGACAACGAAAAGGACTCAGATTGCTTTATCATCATGGATGCGTTTGCGAGGTAAATACAATATTTTTTTTGTTAAAAAAAAAAAAAAAATATACTACTGTATACTCAAAAAACTATTCCCATTCGATGTTTGTCATAGGAAGTATTATACTTGCTGTCGAAAAATAATTTCGAGCAAACAGTTATCATCAAATTTATGTTTGACTATCTATATAAATATAATATGTTCAATTTCAATCCTTTCGAAAAACACATTACTTTAAAAATTCATAAAAATTATATAAATAAACGAATAAACAACATTTCTTTTATCCTTTTCGAATGAATATTGATAAATGAGATTGTTGCAAAATATTACCAATACTATATTGTAATATTTAATTCGTTCTTTTAATATAATTTCAAAATATTTCAAAAACGATGATGCCTTCAACAAAATAATTTTGGTTTCTTTTATATTACTTTTTTTAACAATCGATGAAAAAAATCATTTCACGCGATTATATATCTAATAATTTATTTATTACATTAATTATAGATATCCTTCACGCCGTGGTGGCGAAAAGGTGCGGTATTGGAATCGACCGGTGGAAAGCATTGTCTATGGGAAAGTTCACCAGGTCCGCAGGATTGTCAAGAAAAATATGGTGTATGCAAGAAAGGACCTAATGGTTGTTCCTGGACACCTTCGGTGCCATACAAAAAGTGCATCAAGGAATATCAACGGAAACGCGAACAGGAGAGATTAAAGGAACCTTAACGAAATGTTTATTTTTCCTTCTTTCCTTCCTTATATCTCCTCCCTCCCACCCTCTCTTTCTCTCTTTTCTCTAATCTTCTCTTCCTTTTTACTTTTACTCGCGCAAAATAGAAAAAAAAAGAAAAAGATATTACGAATGTTTGCCGATATTGGAAATCGACCAATCCGCCGACATACCGTAATTTCTAATTGACATCGTGAATTGCTCTTGGAAATCGTCGAAAACTGAAAACTTGAATAGACTCGATATGGTAGAAAATACTATCAACTAACCTGATCGATAAACTAGTGTGATGAAAAGAGAAGAAAAAAAAAAAAAAGTAATCCCAGTTCTTTTTTTTCGTCTCGTTCTTCTCAGCGATATCGATTTTTTTTTATATTTTTTTTTATTTTGTTTTTTCTCATTAATCGATATCGAATGAGAGAAACTTCCGTGTGTCGGGTTTTCATGCGTCATGTTTACAATCATTTTCTTATTTAGAGACGAGAATTTGCATTACTAGATTTCTATACGAACATATTTTGAACACACACACACACACACACACAAAATACCATTGCTAAAAGTATCGAAACATGTTTCTAATATTTGTCGAAATCATTTGTAGGAAAAATAAAGAAAAAAGATAAGTATATTTAGTGCATAAAGTATATCATATATAAATATATATATATGATAATAGTATTCTATAATGTAGGATAAATCTATAAAAGATTCTAGAGAAAGAAGTTATTTGTTACAATCGCGATCTTATAGGAAACGATTAAAGATTATCGATCGTTCGTGGTATTCGATGTCAGCGGTATATAAAATTTATCGTTTATTAAGTTATTAATAATTTGATTGTCAACGGTCAGTTGGTAAAACTTCGTAGTATCCAAGGGTGAACAGTTGGGGGTTGCGAAGGTTGGGGTAACGTTGATCGATCGAACGTTTACTCAACCGTGCGTGAGATCATTCATTTTCCCGAATCGGAAATAGAGATAGGAGAACAGATTGTATAGAAAGGAAATTTTCTATTGCGGAAGAAAATTATTTTGCGCTTTCGCCCCCTCTTCCTCCTCCTTCTCCTCCTCCTCCGAAGATTGTATATAATTTTTCTTTCCCTCACTCTCTAATTTTTTCTTTTCCTCTCTCCCCTTATCCCCCCCCGCCCCGTTAATCTTAGCACTTAATGTATATTGTAAATCCGTATAAGTTATTTTGTTCTTGCACGTAATACTAAGCGGTAGTTTTTAGTCAACTCTTTTTTTTTTTTTGTTTTTTTTTTTGGTTTCAAAGCGCATTTCTATTTCGATTCGAACGAACAAAATTATGATTCGTTCTTTTATTTTTTATTTCTTTTTTTTTTTTTGTAATGTCATTCGACGATCGTAACGTATCGTTTTTATTTTATTTATATAATATTAATATTATTAATATTGTTATTTATTAAATTCTTTTTGGTACTCACGTTTTTAATTCATTGAAAAATATCGTAATTTGAATCCGTGAGAGAAATTACCCACCGTTTATCGATGTATGCTGATATTCGCGTTATATACGATGATAATATTAAAATGTAGAATTTAAAAGAAAAGAGATGTAACACAGTAGATTTTTAAGAGTCTTGTGTAACACTCGGACTCGTCGTTTTCGTTGATAGTGGCGAGAAACCCCCGTATCCCACGTGGGTTTGAAATTTAGTACAAAATATTAAAACGTATATATATATTATTAAATATAATTTGCATTTCGTAAAGCGATTTTGTAATTACAGTTTACGTTTTTAAGTATTAAATCGTTTTTTACGATTAATCGAAGAAACGTAACGAGATATGCGATATATATTAAACGTATACGCATAGACATAACACCTATTAATTGATTAACCATGTGATCGAGAAAGATGAAAAAAATGTGAAAAAATAAATTTTTTTTATCCAAGATAAAAAAGAAAAAGCACATATGAAGAAAAAAAATGAAACAACGACGTTTCCAACCGATAATCGTTCCACTTACCATTTCACGATGATTAGGGTAGAAGGTTTGCTCGATCAGAGGAAAATTGTCTTTGCCCAAACGACGTTGAAGACCCAATAAATGAGCGAATACCCATGGCTTGTCCTTTAAATCATTAAAACGACAAAATAAAAATGACCGATTAAACAATCGTATTCATTGATATGTAAAAGAAGAAAACATTTGACGTATTCGTAAATTGTGTTTGAATGTATCGAACAAAATGTCGTCGATGTTAAAAAAATTTTGTAATGAAATAACAATCCTGACAATTACCTGGAAGTTGTAAATAGCTGTAAGATTGTTAACACTTGGTATGCCACCGTACATCAGGCCAAGAAGAAGATTCTTGTTGTCTTCGCCAGCATCACGCAAATTTTGACGAATCAGCACGAAATCCGGCTTGAAAGATCTGCGAAATGAAATAATTTGTGCATTTATAAAACAAAGAAGGGTTACCTATTTTTTAAATTATATTTTTTAGATTTATATTTAAATTAATACGTTTTCTAACCTGATGACTTTAGTTCCGTTACGATAAACTGCCATGGAAACTGTGCTACCAGCTTCGCTTGCTGTCAAAGACAATTCTCGGAATTCCGCTTGTTCCACGCGAATCTCATAATCCCCGTGAAGTCTTCTACCACGAAAATATTTGCTCCAATCGGTATTCTGATCGTCTATCACTAGGAGAGTGAAGCATCGATCCTTGCTGTAGGAGGGTCCCCTAGTGGCGCCCGAAACGGCTGCTCCCAAAATGGATGCGCCCTAAAATCACCATCATCACCACCCAACGCCTAGTTTACGTTTTCTTCCCTTTTATTGTCTCTCCTCTATTTTTTTTCTATCTTTTCTTAATATCTCGCGTGTAAAAACTAAATTAATCGAAGAATTATAACAAAACAAAACAAAAAATTAAACCATAGATAGAAGAATAGGAAATAAAACAACAACGATTATCGCGATATACTTTTTTTTAACAATTAGATTCTATATTAATTGAAAATTTAAAATGTATATAATATATACGAGAAAGAAAACGAACAACGTAATTATCACACGATTTTTGTTAACTATACGTCAGTGCTTTTTTTTCCCACCCCCATTACTCTTTGCTTTTCATTACTCAAAAGAGAGAGAGAGAGAGTAGAAGAATAAGAAAGTAAAAAGAAAAGAAAAGAAAAAATAAACGATTGTGGCAACCCTATTAACACCTTCCTTTATCATTAGAGTTTCTTAACCTACGAGTTCGCGACCCAGTTTTCGGTCGGTGTGCTGTATCGATGGGGTCAACGAGATCTCTCCTCGCTAACTTGACATTATCTTTTTCTTTCTCTCTCTCTTTCTTTTTCCTTCCTCTTTCGTTTCTTTAACACTACTATAATAATATTTTTCCTTTTAATTCTTATCTCTCATTATATGATGAATAATAATAATTGAATATATTTCATTATTTTTCCTTAATTCGTTATCCTCCTCGTATTACTATATATCGAGTCGTTAACAAATGAAACGATTATACATGAGGCAAGAGAGATTATTCGATATTCATAAAACTAGGTCGTAGCAAGGGAGGCATTTTAATTCGATCGAACGGTGACTTTCGAAGAGGGTCAGTAAGAAAATTGAATTACACCGGTAACAATGTGCAAACGAAAAGAGAAAGTATGGTAATGGTAAATGAAAATATTACATACCAATGAATTCATTTATCTATATCTATCTCTTTCATAATATCATCCTTTCAATAATTATTCATTAATTTGGGCATGATTTGTCTCGCGAGTTAGAGATTAAAAAAAAGAAAAAATAAATATTAGGTAAGAAAAAAAGAATAAAGACGTTAATAAAATTAAAGAGAGAAAAAAAGAAAACCAATAAACACACAACCTGATCTCTGGCAGCTCCTGTTAGACTTTGGACTCTCTGCAACAGACTTTCACGGCTTTTGGCTGGTGAGGAAGGTGCGCTGGTGGTCCTAGATCCCGGTCTTAAGTTTAAGCTGAGATCACCGCCAATCGGTTGGGGTGGTCCAGTTGGCGGTGCACCTGGGATCGGTGGTTGATTAGTTGGTGGTATAGGTGCAGGTTGAGATTGAAGTGGTCGATCTGGGACCGCCTGATACGGCAGGGACGAGTCCTGCCGCGCCACGGAGGCCAGCCCGGATTCCGTATTCGGTTCATCGTCGAGCTCCGAGCTCAAATCTCCTGACGAGAACCTGGAAGACAAGCTATGGTGGTCGTCGTGATAACGATAATTTTGCATGGCCGCCCGTAAAAACCGGACGTTTTTTTAATTGCTTCCTTTCTATCTATTATCTTTCTCTCCCACTCCTTTCTTTTTTTTTTTTTTTTTTTTAAATATTTTCCTAGCTTTTCTCAAGGCACATCAACAGCAGCCAGGGTGCAGTTGTTGCAGGTAGTAGTAGTAGTAGTAGTAGTAGTAGTAGTGGTACTGATGGTAGTGGTGATAATTGTGATGGTGGTGGTGGTGGTGGTGGTGGTGATGGTGGTGGTAGTCGTGCTCTGGTAGTAGTAGTGACGATGACGATGACGATGACAATTTTTGTTATTGCCGTTGCATGGGACAACGCCGAGAGCTTGGAGGAGACGTCAGGCTTGCCGTTCTTGATCAAATCTTTCATGCAGGGGGCTTTTTCAACATCCAATATCTTGCGATTTCAAGGCCAAGCTGTTGGATTCTTTTTCAAATACGACATGATAGCGGACATTTTGTTTGCGCGTTTTAATTATTACTTTTTATTAACCAAATATTAGGTCTGAGAAAGTATGAGACAAACGTATGATTAATTAGGATTGTTTCTATATAACAATGAGAAGAAGTTTCGGGGGAAGGGGGGGGGGGGAAGTGGGATAAAATATCGTCGATATGGTATTATTTTTTTTTTCTTTTTTTAGTCGTTTTAGAAAAATGTTTTAAAAATTAAAATAAGAAAATGCACTGTGCGTGCAGAATTTGTGCCTGGAAATGTGCTTCAATTTGAAATTAAACCTTCACGAAATGAAATGGGGTGATCTGCAAACAACGCGGATGTATAATAAATATGGGGAAGGGGGGTGGGAAACAAATGGTCGGGGTAAAGGATTATCCACAGCCAAAACCTACCGGACTTCTTTTAATCTTTCGACCGGACACATGTGACGCTCGCTCGCGCCAGACTCTCTGAAATTGTCAAATTTCATATGAAAAATTTGATCAGATTTCTTGTTACTTTTTTTTTTTTTTAAATTTATATATATTTTTTTTTCTCTTTTTTTTTTTTTAATATTTATATACAATCGTGTCGAATGAACAACGAAAGAAACGTGTACAGCAGACCGACATATAAAATGAATTTTTTAAAACGTATAAAAACGATTAAACGAATAATAAATGGCTTAACGTGCTGCGCGCATAACGTCCAAAAAAAAAAAGAGAAAAAGAAAAGGATATTGAAAAAAAAAAACACACATTTAACAATTTTTTATATTTGTCGATGATATTTCAAATTACAACGATTTTTGTGTTGATTCAAAGTCCGTGCAGATTGTGGTTTGCTTTGGTTGTAGATAACCATAATATAAATATTTCAAAGAGACGTTTCGTGCGGAATTAAACGTATTCTGAATAAAACGTGAAAAGGAAAGAAATAATGATAAAAAACAAAAGAAGAGAAAACGATTGTGTGGGGGGTTTTAAATACGAAAAATAATCATGAGTAAACTTTTCGTTCTTTTCTTTTTTTTATACGTTAATGAAATTCGTTAAAGTAACATTTTAATTGAAATTCTTCTCGTAATCGTAGGACGTCTACTAAATGGAAAATGTGTGAAACAGATATAATACATATATCTGATCTCACATCAATGTCGTATTCCTCGTTTTCTGTAACGTGACCTATTCGAATATTTAGAATGACATGGAAATCGTTGGTAGATCGATCTTCGCATTTGGATTTTTTCAGCGCAAATGCGATTAAGCGGCTTCCTCTTGCATGCAGACATCGAGATTTTGTATTTTTCTAATTTTTGGATTTTTTATTCAAACGGCAAGAATTTCTTCGTGATACAACAGAACAGCCGATAAAACGTTAATTGGGTTCATTAATAATATAACAAACATTTAAATTGAAAAAACACATACACACACACACACGCACACACGCACACACATTAATTAGGATAGAAGAATTTGACAGAGAAATTAAATTAAAAAAAAAAAAAAAAAAATAAACAAAAATTAACCTTATTTTAAAGACACATGTGAATATATTTTCTTTTTCTTTGCTTCCTCTTGCATGCAAATAAAAATGAATAACAATAAATTGAATCGAGGAAAAAACACAATCATGGACAAATTCGAACGTTTATCTTACCTCCGTTTCAGGTAGTTGACATTGGAAGTAAAGGATTGACGTAAGCTGGAGAATGAAATGTTGCCGGGTGATGGAGCTGTACCACAATATTTGGCGCAACCGCCGCGGCCGGTAATTTTGATGGATTACGTTGACTTTATTTCTTCGACGAAAATCTTCCGATTCGTTTTATTCCCTTTTTGTCTTTCTTACGTTTCTTTTCGTCAAATATTTTCTCGCTAAGTCGAATACTTTATCGTAGAATTGGATAATTACTTTTTCTTTTTCGTTTCGTCGCCCTTTCAAGTTTTCTTTTATCAAACGAGTTGATTTAATTTGTCCTTTTTTTGATCAATCAATTTTCTATCATTCCTATTCCTCTCTCGTTTTTTTTCTCTTCGAAATTTGCACGCAAAGGTGTTAAGTTAAGTTTAAAGTAAGGATTTCAAATACGAACGAAAAGGGCTAAATAAGAGAGGTGAGGAAGGAGAAACTAAACGTTTCGAGTTGAAATCTGAAATAAAGAGACAAAAGTATTGCATTAATATTAGATAAAATGTTTACAATAAATGAAAGAAATAAAAGAATGAAAAAAAGACATTGTTTTAACCGTGCGCGTATTCGTGGTAAACGTATTCGAACGATCGTGTGATCATTTTGTAAATTAGTGAAAAATAATATAAAAAAACAAGAGGAATTATTATTCGACGTTAAATGTTACAAAAGAAAGAAACAAAATGCGTGTATACTCTCGTCCAAGTTTTTCGACGATTTCATGAAACGTGAATATTGCACGAATATAAAATACCGTTCTCTACCGTTGTTCGTTTTCAATTTTTCAACAATGTGTCTGAATGAGTATCATCGTCATAGTTATATATCGCGTTAACTTAACGCTTTTACGTTTTGTTTCCCAACGAAAAGCACTTTATTCTCGCTCCTCGAAAAATCTGCCGATCTCGATAACGTAGATTATTGTTCGTTGTAAATTCATTTCTCACTTATGGTAGAAAACGTTCTATAATAGTGTTTGATATATTACCGTCCGATTAAATTATTTGTCGTTTAATTCACGTGTCCATTAATCGGGTGGTGGGGTGTGGGGAGGAGACAGAAACATCGATCGAAATTAATTGAACGATCTAAACTTTCGAAAATGTATTACCGTTTAACAAAAGAAAAAACAATAAATGCAAGTCAAAAGACAAGAAGAAGAGATAAAAATTGGAAATGTTCAAACAGTTTACAAATGAAAAATCGACTTAGGAATAAATACCTTACGTAAGGATTCATTTTACGTAACGTTGTATTAACTGTTGTATATAACGCGTATGCCTATGGGTTTTCTACACGTTATCACTTTTAAATAGATAAAAACGTTTGAAAGAGAAAAAAAAAGTATCTAGCTAGCAATGAACACGCTAGCAATCGCGATAAAATTAGATTTTATGAGGAGGGGGAACGCACACGAGCTCTCGTATACATGTAAAGTGAAATTAGCGAAATCCCGATTGACTTTTTAGTGTTAAACTTTAAAAAAGAAAAAACAAGTAATCGAGAAAATTTCGTCGACAAATCGAGTCTCGAAAATTCCAGGATCCTTTTACCCATTCAAAAATTCTCTGCTAGTGGAATATCTTTTTTTTTTTTTCTCTAAAAATCGATGAAAGAGTAAGCCCCGTTCTTTATTTTCTGATAGTTCCAACTTTAACTTAGACCAACCTTTATCCTTTGAAATCGCGAATTTGTAAGAAACAGATTGTGAAGAACGTTTAGACGAAATCTGACTGATATAACGAACGACACTATCCTATCTACCTACCCCCATGTAGTAGAAACGGAAAAGATGAAACGATCACGTGAAAAAAGTATGCGCGTCGTGGTATGCGTGATCGGTGCAGCCAAAAAGTTGCGCGCTCCGAATAAATTTTGTCTCTTTCTCTCTCTCTCTCTCGTTTCAATCGTGTGCACCGTGACATTTTTCCTTTTTTACGTTTTTTTCTTCATTCCTTCATCGTTCATACCTACGTAAAATAAACCGAGTCGAATCACTATCGCGAACCGTTATTCTCTATAAAATTTCGCGTTAAAAAAAAAGAAAACGAAATAAAAAATTTTGTTTCTTTTTGTTTTTTTCCCCCCAGGAAAAAAAGTAAGATAAAAAGGAGAGAAAAGTGTGACTCGCGTCTATGAAAAAGGTTCGTTCGAAGAGAATTTGTTTAAAAATCGTATCACGAAAAAGAATATACCGTGGTCTAGACTAATTTCAGACGATGTGAATGAAAACATGAATGTATATGATACGTAAGGGATCATCGTCTCGTAAGAAATAGAAATAAATGAAAAATGATTAGAAAGGGACTTACCTGCGTCGCGTGCGCGTGTACTACTCACTAGTTTGCCGGTGAAGCAGTGAAGTTCGACCGTGAAACGCGCGAGGGTGTCGCCCAGAGGCCTTTTGAATCGATACCTCGACGCCTGCGCTCGTACAACCCTCTCCTCTCTTCTTCCCCTCGTTCGACTACCCTCGTTCTGGAACATCGAAGAACCAACGGAGAAAAAAGAAAGGAAGAAAGAAAGAGATAGGAAAAACGAAGACGCAATCCACGACGTCTATCCTTTTTCTAAAGCCAGCCCTTCTAGTTTCCCTTTCCCCTCCCCTCCCCCCTTTTTCCCCTTCTATCTATATTATCTATATACTACTCGTGTTTAAACGCTACGCTTCCGTGTTTGCGAATGCTCGTTGAGCAACATGCTTTCCTTCTCCCAATGCGTGTCAAATACGCTTCGCTAACTTTTGCCGACTGTAGATTAAACGTTCTCTTCCTCTTTCATTCTTTCTTTCTTTCTTTCTTTTTTTTTTTTTCTTCTCTTAACACCCTCCGTCCTCCACCCACCTCCCTCTATTTCAACCCTCATGAAATCATTTTTTCTTTTACCCTCTTTCTATACTTTATTCTTTTTTCTTCTTACGGCTTCCATTTCGTAATTTTTCCTTCCCTTCTTAAACTGTGAAAGAGAGATATGTGGTCCCAGTAGCAAGCTAGGTGGTGTAGATACGCTTTTGACATTTTCAAGAGAACCGTTCGTTCGTTCGTTCGTTCGTTCGTTCTTCTATCTTTCGTGCTCTCTCGTAAGCAACATTGATTGTCGCTGTGCTTCCAAGAGTCGAGAAAAAAATAAAAGAGAGAGAAGAATTTTTATGCGCATTCCTTACCTTATTTCTTTCCCTTTCACATTTCTAAAGAATCTTTAAATCAATTTACTAGCATCTCTTCCGGTAAACGATTTTTACCATCTATTCTACGAATTATTCTTCCAAATGTTCTATTTACGTTTTAATAAAAATTTTTGTTAAAGAAAGGAAGAAAAAAAAAAGAAAAGGTACGGCACTGTTAGATATAAAATTGATTTCACATACGGAGATTGAATATAACACCTATGGACCGATAAACTGGAACAAACGATAAAAACCTCGCCGAAGTCACGCCACCGGTCGAATTCACGTTAGATTGGTGAATAATTTCAATCCGTAAAATGGAAAATAATGATCTTTGGTATTTAAGCATGAAAAGGGTTAAAACGTTGAACGTTAATCGAAAGTATTTTATCAATCGTCGAGGAATTACCAGTCTCGTTTTCTATACTAATATGCATAAACACGTGTGTTAAGGAATTATCGGTGCTCATTACAAATAATATTTCACAATAAATTTCTCTCAATGGATCTCTCGGAACATTTCCTTTTTCTTTAAGATCACATTTGATTTCGAGTAACACGTGTCGTTCGAACGACATCTTGCAGACTCTCAGACGCCAAGATACACATATCGACCTACGTAACATAGAAAATGATAAGCACGAAGCCATTAATCTGACAATGACTATCTCTATAAACTAGTGTTACCGTGTTAGCAATTCTGACACGCAGCAATTTATGTGCTGCGAACATTTCACACCGTGACGTTGTTTAATCGATTGCTTTGATTATTCTAATATAACAAAAACAAATATGTTATATCATCAAATTTTGCATTCGTTGTGCTTCGAACATAAATATATATTCTTTCTAAAATTACTAATTAAAATCAATCGTATAATATTCAAAGGAAAAATACAAATGATAATAATAATAATAATAATAATAATAATAAACCATTTTTTCACTTTGTTTTTGATGGATATTTTTACAATTATCTTAAAATAATTTCACATACGCGATTTAACATTCTCTTTTTAATCTTTATACTTCAAAGACAAACATTTGTCAAACATTAAACTTTGCATATTTTGTTTTTTTTTTTGTGTTTTATAATATTTTATAAAGCATTCTCCATGATGCATTCTCTGTTTGTCGGGGCAAGTATCACAATAATATATGATTTATGGTATCAGACCTTATTCGTTCAGAGCAAACCTTGCAATCCTTTATAACTCCTATTAGCATAACACATCGTAACTTATCCTCATTCAATCGGATTCTATGAATACTACAGATCGATTGTATGAAATAACAGATAATATAAACCAGACATTGTAAAAAATAGCATGATACATTCGTAAAAAAAAAAAAAATGATTATTCTTAACAAATCATTAAAATAAAACGCCACAACCCCTGGGTTTGCGCAAGTACACAACCCCTACGCGCGTATATCGCAAAAAAAAAAAGAAATATAGAACGAGTTAGTTGTACGTGAGGGGGTGAGGGGGTCGATGACCGTTCCATATATTTTCTGAAAAACAAACAATCCAAAAGAACGGCCGATAAAATGGATTTCTAACTTAACTTAAAAAGAGATCGCAAGCTACCGCCACATCGCGGAAATAAAATGAAACTTAGGTTAATAACGGTGAGATGGGGAAGCACAAGCGTGGTAGCTTGAGGTAGCAGCAGTTCTGGAGACATGAATGCGTAGATAGCAGAGGTGTATTGGGAGGAAAAGGGAATGGCGGCTGCAGTACCGTCCTGGCCCCCACCAAGCACACCTGAACGAACACCTGAGCGTCCCTGGGGCCACCTCGGAAGGCACGGACAATCATTATTTCGCCAGTATAACACTAGACTCCATTCGAATCCGTCCTCGTCGTTGCTGCTGTTGTTGTTGTTGTCGTCTCTAATCGATTTTTCGATCTTTACGCGAAAACTTTTCTTACTTTCACGTAAAGAAAAGGAAAAGGAAAAGGAATAGAAAAGAAAGAAAGAAAGAAAGAAAAAAAAAGAGAAAGTATAAATTTTGTCTTTTTTTCTTATTCGTCTTCTTATTCTTATTCTTCTTATTCCTCCTGTTTGGTGAACGGAACAGCGTCTTTCGTGTTGACTCCATCGAAGACAAGAACGGACCAGTCTTACGAACACACGCACGCATCCTGCATCCTGCATACACATCTACGTACTAACCACGCTCATATCTATATATATAACGCGTGTGTGACAAGGAGGAAGAAATCTATGTAGAAGAAGAGAATTGCCATCGACGAGAAGTCAGTCAGAATTGCTATACGATGACTCTCTTCTTGGGAAATAAGGAAAATGTGACGTGAGAGACCGGTCTCTGAGATCATCGACGTCGGCATACGTGATTTTTATAACCTATCTCTCCTTTATTCTATTCTTTAATCCTTATTTTTTATATATATATATATATATAAATATATATTTTTTCCCCTTCCCCCCACCCCCACACTCCTCTCGTATCCAAGATACAAAGTCACGCGAACGCGTGGACCATGCACGCTACCAAAATGTCAGCACGCGAGTGGTCAACTTTTCGTCTGATCTCGCGCAGAATCGCAACTGCAATCTGTTGGATCCTGGTGGCGCTATGCGTCAACGAGGTGAGTTTGAAAATGCATTATAATATTTGTAATCAACAACGTTTTCTATTTTTAATATATCCCTTTTTTTTCTTTTCTTTTCTTTCCTTTCCTTTCCCGTTAACGCGAATTGCGTTCGTTGTTTATAAGCAAAAAAATTACGAAATAAATAACAATCTTATCGATTAATTTCTAACAGAAAAAATAAACCAAAATAAGAAACAAATACTTTCATCGATACTCGATAGAAAATATTATAGATTTTCTTTTTCTTTTTATTTTCTCCCACGATACCCCTCTCTCTACTATTATTATTTTTTTTTTTCGTGGTAACAATAAATAAAGTCGCACGAGTGCCTTTACAATCGCAAACTTTCTACAATATTTTTCCTATCCTACGCGATTAAGATCTATTACGTACGCAACATCTCTCTCTCTCTTTCTGTTGTCTTATTATATAATTAATTACGCGAATTAATTAACACCGTAATTATTATATTATATTAATTTTGTTTTCGATTGTGAGGCTGATGAACAAAAATTCTACGAGATTATTACTAGACGAGTGAAATAAAAAAAAAAAGAAACAAATAAAACATTTTCGAATATTTCATGCACGATATTCTACGAATCGCAACGAATAGATTTCAATAATCAAACGAACAAACGAACGAACGAACAAATAAAAAGTTCAAATGGCGGAGGGTGGTGGTGATGGGGGGGGGGATTAGAGCGAGGGAAAAAAGAGGAAATACAAATGAAGAAAAATTATGCAAGGATTAAAATGCGAGTCGCGACGCATACGTTTATGTATTTCGTTTGTTGAAACGTTTGCTTCGCCATTCGTGGAAATGTGTCTGGTAAAAGAGAGAGAAGAAGGGAAAAAAGACAGAGGTGGACGGGGGGCGGGTGGGGAAGATGCTGGGTGGTGGCGTGACTCTTCTTCCCTCAACTCTTCTCTTTCGTATTGGGGTTCAAAATATATGGGCTATATACACACACACACACACACACACACACACACACACAGCAGACACACATATAGGTATATTTAACGTAGGTATATATTCGCGTACAACGAAAAGTTGCAGCAGACTGTAGTAGAGTCTGCCTATTACGAGAAGGAATGCAACACACATCCACTCACACACAATAGTCTCCCGTTTCCTTCTCTTTCTTTGTCTCTTTCGTCCTTCTTCATCGTTCGTCTTTCTCTCTTTCTGTCTTTCTCTCGTTGATCTCTCTTTGGTATGCAAAGGAAAACCTCGTTAAAACGTGTCGTTCTATGGGACATTTTTGTTTCTTTCTTCAAACGACAATACTACTGCTACTCGTACGAACCCCAATGAAAATATAAAAGATGACGGATTGAAATAAAAAATATTTTTGTCAGAGAAGAATATTGTACAATATTATAAAACGAGAATAACAATATTACCATTTACAATTTTGTCACGTTCTTCGACCTTGAGCGAATGCTATAGGAACTATGATGATGATGATGATGTAACATGCTTCGTAATACAAGTAGGAAAGAGTAATTCGCAATTACGTTGTTCCGCGAATCGTTGTGGCTGGGACGTTTTAAGTTTGATCGAAAAAATGTACGTAGAGTTTTAGTAACACTTTTCTCTCTCTCTCTCTCTCTCTCTCTCTCTCTCTCTCTCTCTCTTTACCTCTTTCTTGTTATCTATCATTCTTTTTTTCTTTCTCTTGGTAGAAGAAATACGAGACTGGTATGCAGAGTGGTACTTGTAAAATACTTTGTCCCCTTAGCTTCTTTCAAACCATGATAAGATAATGCTAATGGGGTTGAATACTATTAAGTTAAATATTTTAAGCTCGTTCTCGAAGGCTTTTACTTTCTGCTTGGAATACACGATCGAGCGTTTTATTATCGAGTGACCTTCGATCGATCGTGAATCGATAAAATGAACTAAGGTCAGAGGATGAACCTATTCGCTGATGCTGTTGCTGCTGCTGCGTAAGAATTTTTCTGATTGAACGATTACGAATGAAATTAAAATCTACGATCCAATAGGCGTAGTCTAATGTCATTGATATACTTTGTATGAGATTTTTATTAACAAATTTAATTAAAAATAAAAAGGATTAAAAAAAGGGTTAAAAAGATAAGAGAAAGGATAGATAGATATTATCTTATCTAAGAAAATGGTTCAATTATATCTCGAACGTTATTTAGATAAATACAAGATAAAACGATAATGATCATTATCGTAAACGATGTTAATCGTTAACACACAGGACAATGCAAGAAAATGAAATCGCTGGGAGGGTTGTGAATTCCTGATAAGTTTTATCTGATAATACGTTTAGATATCTATCTCTGTTAACTTCGACTGACCCGACCCTACTTTTGCGAGAAACATAAATTCTCGATGTTTAATCTCGCCGACGCGAGAAACATATTCATTTAGCCTTGAAGTTTCTTCAAATTCCATCGGACATGATATGCATTATCGCGATCGAGGATCTAAGATGCAACGAACGGCCTTCAAGAATGTTTTCGTTTTTTATTTTATTTTAAATCTCGACTTCTCCCGTTCCCGATTTCTCAGCATAAAGACGAGCTATTTAAGGTTTCCAATAAGTCGTTACAGTTATGATCGATAACTATCGTTACTAGATAATGATATATCAACTATGGTGGTAGAAGGAAACAAAAAAATGAAGAAACAAATTACGATCGTCCGTTTTCTAATCGTAATTTTCTTTTCAAATCGTCTTATTTACCTCGAAATTGACGTAATTGATGTTGTATATAGTTAAAAAAAAAAAAAAAAGGAAATAGAATAAAATGAAAGAACTTGACTTATTATGTTAGTCAGAATGAATGCGTGAATGTCGTAGTCGTACGAGGGGATACACGCCTAAGCTCGTCTATGACATAGAAACTCTTGTCCTCGAATACGCGTCCCGCATGAAATATTTCTCAACGTCTCATATGTCTCATTTCTCACGTAATCATAGGAATTTTTCTTCCCTTTTTTTTTTCTCTTTTTTTTCTCTTTTTTTTCCTTCCTTCTTTCTTATCTTGTTCTTTTCTCTTTAAATGGGTGATAACAAGTAACAACTTTCCGTATCTCTTTATGATACATCCTGCAACTGTTGTTATAATATAAGGAACAAATTGGTTCTCAGTTCTACCCATCGATATAAAGTTTAGCGACTAATAAATAATACAATGATGAATCAAAAGTTCGTGGCGTTTTTTTTTCCTTTTTAAATTAATATCTCACTTGCGTGTATAAAGTAATTTTATTGATTAGAAAAAAAAAATTGCACTATCCGAAAAACAATACAATAAATTTCACGAACTTTTGAATCACTTTAATAATCCACCCTAGGTAATATCATTCTATTACCGTCTCTTCTTAAAATTGAAACCAACCTACGAAAACATTATAATTAAAAACTGTGTCACGGTATTTAAACGTAAGCTAGATCATTGGATAATGTAACATACTATCAAGGACGTAGTAAATAATTCTTTAGAGAGAAGATCATTATAAAGAAAAAAAGAGGAAAGTAAGAAATAACTATTCGAAAATAAAGTATCCAAGTGGGATGTGTGGAAACGCATCGAAGTGCACCGTACCGAGAATAAAACGAAAGTCAGAAATTCCATCTTTTCTTCTTTATCTCTCCTTCTCTCTCTCTCTCTTTTTTCGTTGGACTCACATGTCCATTTTCGGAGAACGAGCGCTACTCCACGGGATAGTTCGACCTACGCTCGGCAGCCTTCGATACAGCAGCCTACGTTTAACCATAAGATAATAAGTCTTTTCTTTAAAGGATTGCGAAAGTGCGAGTTGTGTGAAGTCTCGTACGCCTCTCTCGTACAATACTCGGATACGTAATATCGAAACTTCGATCGTATTCTCTCTTTTTAAAACTCCTCCCAGAGACGAGGAGAAATAGTTTATAATACTCGTTCACTCGTGTCCATTGAAAGAAAAATAAAGATAGAAAAAAAAAGAGAATCTCGAAGTTTTGAGTGGTGATCATTTTCATTTTTTTCTCACCATAACGTATCAATGATAAATTATTTTTATCTTAGCGATGTGTTTGTCCAAAAGATACATTTAACACAAATTTTAACTTCAAATATTATTCTCAAAGTTTTTTGTAATTATTTTACCGGGGAAATAAATAATTTTTTGTTGATTTTCTCTGTAGAATAGTGTTTTGTGTTAAAATAATTGTAATAATATTATAATATAATTTTTTTCCTCCAACTTATCTCTGGAATTTAAAAAGACACACCTTTTCGTGTTGAAATAAGTATAAACAAAATCGTAATAGAAATATTGTTAAAATTATTCCCATTAGTAGTGTCAGTAGTCTAAAAGAAAAACTATTCGTTACTTTTCTTTACAATAATTGTTAAATTAATTCAACGATATTAATTTTCCTCCAGGCTTATCTCCTGGATCTAAAAAAGAAATAACCTTTTTCGCGTTGAAATAGTTATACACAAAATCACGGTTGAAATATTGTTAAAGTAATCCATCGGTTGTGTCAGTATTCTGAAATAAAGATTACACGTTGCAAGGAATAATAAAATACTTGATATCATTTTTGTTTTTCTCTTAAGTTTTCGTCCTCCCTTCGGTGGATGTCCTTGGAACCGAAGAATGCTATTTGTCGTGATAAATGCAGTAAGCCGATAGGAATACCAGCAGCAGGTCTCTCCAGAATGGAATCTTATACTTGATAGTTAAGATTACTTTAAAACACCGAATTTATAATCATCCAGTGTGGTTCATTAGTTACATTTCTAAAAACGGGAAGAATTACTAGACTTGAATGTTGCCTTGCATTTTCCATATTTAGTTATAGAAGCCTCGAGCAAAGATTCATGACAAGCAAACGTTATGATATCTAGAATGATCGATTAGTCCTTGCGAGATAGATCATTCTTCGATTGATTATTACCTTCGATATTCTTCAGGGTGGGGGAAAAAGGGGGTGTGGTTAATTTTTATTTCTCATTTCGT